AATTTCTCTTTTGCTGTCTTCAAGGGCGAGCTCCAGGGCCCCTAACTTTGCTTCGAGTTGCATGCGCTGCTGCCGCTCCTGCTGCAGCTGCTGCTGCTGCTGCTGCAGGTGTCTCTTCACTCTCTCGTTTATTGCATGTTCTGTCTTCAGCCGCTCCAGCCGCTGTTCGCAACACGCCTACCATCCTAAACAGCTAGCTAGCTAGCTCGCTCGCTCGCTAGATGGAGGGATGGATAGCTAGCTAGCTAGCTAGCTCGCTAGATGGAAGGATGGATAGCTAGCTAGCTAGATGGATGGATGTCTAGCTAGCTATGTAGATGGATGGCTAGCTAACTAGCTAGATGGGTTGATTGGTAGCTAGCTAGTAAGGTAGCTAGCTACTCAGTAAGTTAGCTTGCGACCCATCTACCTAGCTAGCTAGCTAGCTAGCTTGCTAGCTAATTCGCTGGCTAGTTAGCTAGCTAGCAGAATGGGTTCGATCCCCTGGACCACTGGCTAGGGGCCTAGCGAGACTGGTGTCTCTTATGTAGGTCTCTAGCTAGCTAGCTAGCTAGCTAGCTAGGCAGCTAGCTTCTAGGTCTCTTTTTCTTTGTTTCCATCTCTGTCTTCTCTGTTCGACTGTCTGTCTGTCTTTTGCTTGCTGTGATTGTGGTTGTCTCTTTGTTGCAGCTTATTTTGTTTATTTTTGTCTGTCTCCTTTCTCTGTCTCCTTTTCTCTGTCTCCTTTTTGTGGTGTCTCCGTTTGTTTGTTTTCTCTGCTTTGTCTCTCTTTTGTTTCTGTCCCTGTTTGATATTGTTGTTGTCTTCTGTTTATTATTTGTCTTTCTTTTTTATGCGTTTGTTTATTTTTTTGTTTTTCTCGTCTGTACCTCTCCGACTGTCTCCACAGAGGAGACAGACGTAGCGCTGCCTTCCTAACAGATAATACGCAAAGAAACAAATGAATATGTTTATATATATATATATATCTTTATACAGATACATATATATATTTACTATGCATGCATATATATATATATATATATAAATGCATTTGTCGATAGAAGGAGACAAAGAAAGAAGACAAATGGAGACACAAAAGGAGACAGGTAAAAGAAAGAAAAGAGACTAATAGAGAGACAAAGAAAAGAAATAAAGAGATGAAAAGAGATATAAATAAACACAAATGAGACAGATAGAAAGATAAGAGACAACAGAGACAGACAAACGGGGACAGAGAGAGACAGAAAGAATTGAGTGTAGTGGCTGCTGCTGCTCTTCTTGCTGCTGCTGTGTGTTGCTGCTGCTGCTGCTCTTGTCGTCTATCTGCTGCTACAGGTATTGCTGCTGGCTTTCTGCTGCTGCTGTTCCTATTGCTGCTCGCCTTTTGCTTCTGCCGTTGCTGCTGCTGCTGCTGCTGCTGCTGCTGCTGCATGTTGCTGCTTCTATTCTTTAGTATTTCTTCTCCTCACCTCCCTCACCACAGGAAGCCACTGCACTACATTCCCGCTGCTGCTGCTGCTGCTGCTGCTGCTGTAGGGGATTCGTGGGGAGGGGAGACGGCGGAGACAGCGCGCCTTCACCTCCGAGCTTTGAGGCAGCAGCACATCCTTAAAATAAATGAACAAGCAAATAAACAAACAAATAAATAAATAAATAAATAAATAAATAAATAAATAAATAAATAAATGGTAAATAAATGGATGAAATGATAAAAGAAATTAAATAAATAAATCAGTCAGCAAAAAAATAAATAAAAATATTTCTCTCTGTCTTCTTCTTCGCCTTTCCGTCTCCTTCTCGCTGTCTCTGTTTGCTTCTGCTGTCTCCTTTCAAAGGACAGCTGTCTCTTTCTTTTTCTGTATATCGTTTGTTTGCCGTCTCTTCAGATAATTTATTTTTTGTTCTCTGTAGCTGTCTCCTCTCTTATCTGTCTCAGTCTCTCCTCTCTCTATATCTGTCTCTCTGTCTCTGTCTCTATCTCTGTCTATCTATCTCTGTCTCTGTCTCTGTCTCTCTGTCTATGTCTCTGTCTCTCTGTCTCTCTGTCTCTCTGTGCCTCTTTCTCTGTCTCTCTGTCTCTGTCTCTGTCTCTCTCTTTTCTCTTTCCTATAATTGTTCACAGTCTGTCTCCTTTGATAGATATAATATCTGTCTTTGTTTTTTTGTTTTGTTTGTTTTAATATTCTTCCTCGTAAGTGCTGCCGCACCATCATGCAGATGTCTCCTTTATGCAAATGAAGAGGAGACAGCAGAAGAGGGCTTGTTGTATATGTATATTATTTGTCTTCTTCGTTTGTTTCTTCTGTCTCCTTCTTCTTTATTTGTCTCCTCTCTCTGTTTGCTGCTGCACTTTGTTCTGCTGTAGCTGTCTCCCTGTCTCCTTTATTTGTTTGTTTATGATTGTTTGTTTGTCTCAATCTGTCTCTCTCTTCGTTTGTTTGCTGTCTCTCTCTTCTTGGTCTGTGCTGTCTCCTTTTACTTCTTTTCTTTGCCGTTGTTTATTAATGCTCTTCTTATTCGCTCTTTTTGTGTTATTTCTTTTGTTTCTTTTTAAAGAGACAGCTGTCTCCTTTTATCTCTCTTCGTTTCTTTTAAAGGAGACAGCTGTCTCCTTTTGTCTCCTTTTGTTTCTGTTAATGGAGACGGCTGTCTCCTTCCATCTCTCTTCGTCTCTCTTAAAGGAGACAGCTGTCTCCTTTTACTTCTTTTAGAAGAGACAGCTGTCTCCTTTTGTCTCCTTTTGCCTCTTTTAGCGCAGACAACTGTCTCTTCTGTCTACTGTCTCCTTTGTCTTCTCTTGCTTCTTTTTAAAAGAGAGTTGTCTCCTTTATTTTCTTCTGAGAGAAAGAGGCAGCAGCTGTCTCCCTCCCTTATCTACATATAATATATATATTGTATATATAGTAAATATATATTATATATATATAATAGTACTGATAAATAATGTGTTAAATAAATGCATAGAGTGGGTAGAGACAGCTGAATAAGTGTATAGGGCGAAGTAATCATTAGACGAGATAAATATGTGGTTAGAAATAATAAGTAAATGAATAAAAATAAAAATAAAAAAAATAAATTTATATTTGACAGAAGTGGGGTTCGAACCCACGCCCTTTCGGACTGCGGCCTTAACGCAGCGCCTTAGACCACTCGGCCATTCTGCCGAGATTAAATTGCTTGCACATATATATTTTCATTCTTTAAATAAATAAAATTAATTATTTTATTTTATTTATATTTAATTATTATTCAAATTATTCATTATCATCAACAGACAGTAATGCTTCATTCAGAAAAAATATTGTTTCAGCAAAAAAAAACAAAAGCTGCTGCTTGCTGCTGCTGTTGCTGCTGCTGTTGCTGCTGCTATTGGTTATAATATATAGCAGCAACAGCAACAGAAGCAGCAGCAGCAATAGCAGCAAATTGGGGTCTCTTTTAACGATTTCTTTATGTATAAATGTAGATGCATGCATGTATTAACATTTTTAAACTCATTTTTATATTTATCTGTGCAGATAAAGGCTGCAAAGAGGCGGGGCTTAGAGATGTATAGGGCTGCTTCTCTGGCTAAGCCACATACATCTACCCTTATCATTTCTTTATTATTTAATATTTAAATTATGTTATTGTTATTGTGCTTCTTTTAAATCTATAATTATATTAATTTACTCATTTATGTATGTTTTTATGTACAAAATATTATAATGCAACAGTAACCCCAACGGTGTGCGGGGACCGCAGCAGCAGAAGACAAACAAAACGTAATAAATACACAAATACCTTTAAATATATATTATATTAATACATATATATATATATGTTAAGGAGAGTAATAGACAAACACTCTGCTGCTGCTGCTGCTGCGGCGGCGGTGCTGCTGCTAGACAGGCGAGATGTGCTGCCTTGTGTTTTTTCTGTCTCTTTTGCCTAAGAGCAGCGATAGCAACAGCAGCAGCCCGCTATAAACAGATGCAGCAAGCAGCAGCAGCAGCAGCAGCAGCAAGAGAAAAAAGCCAGCTGCAGACAGCTGCATCTACAATACAGATAGCAGCTTCTCTTACCCCTCAAACCGCTACGACTTGTAAATAACAATAACAAAATAATATTATATAATATGCATGCATATATAATATAATTAATTATTTATATCTTTTCTATAGTTATATTTAATATTAATTCAAACAATTAATTGCGGGTCTCCCTGTTTGTTATAATCGGCTGTATTTCTTTTTCTACTAAGTACAACTCACTGTACACCTCGTGAGTATATATATATATATATATATATATTTACTTATTTACATTTACTTATATTTATATTTATTTATTTATATATTTATATTTATATCTATTTATATGTATATATACAATAAAATTATTTTTGTCAATTCATAATATCAAATATTCTAAGATATGACTATCAGACAGATTGAAGTAAATAAATAAATATATATATATATATACATGTCTATATATATATATATATTTATATACAAACAAGTATAATATATATATATATATTTATTTATTTATTTATTTATTTACAAAAAAATACATATATATGCATATAATTATATATATATATATATATATACACAAACAGATACATATATATACATATAATATATATATATATATATATATTATATATTGGTTGAGTGCATCCCAGTAGGAAGTAATTTATTTGCTTATATTACTCTAACAAACAAAAACAAAAAAAAATAATTATAATAAATTAGATATTCATCGCTGAGAGCTCCAAGGAGACAGAAAAAGAGGAGACAGTTAAAGGGAAGAAAACCCCTCAGAACAGCTGCTGCTGCTGCTGCTGCTGCTGTTGCTGCTGCTGCTGTTGCTGCTGCTGCTGTTGCTGCTGCTGTTGCTGCTGCTAATGCTGCTGCTGTTGCTACGTTCCCGCCTCTCTTTCTCACTTACATTCATGCTACATGCATGCATGCATGCATGTAGAATGAGGTGTATGTACAGCTGAAGGAGACAGCGCAGCAGCAGCAAACTTAGTTTTGCTGCATTGCTTCTGAGAGGCAATTAACATTGCGGTTTGTCTCCTCTTCACTGTAGGCGTTTTCTTCGTCGCTGTCTTCCCACCATCCCTCTGCAGCAGCAGCAGCAGCAGCAGCTCCTGCTGCTGCACCTGCTGCTCCTGCTGGCGCTGCGTCCTCTCCTGCTGCTGCTGCTCCTGCTGCTGCTCCTGCTGCTGCTGCTGCTCTACATAGACTTGTAGCGAAGGTCTTCGGCCTCGCGCGGCGTCTCCGCCGTTCGCACAAATCTTCAATGCCGTGCTCAGCCCTGCAGCAGCAGCAGCAGCAGCGGCAGCAGCAGGAAATAGCATTTTAATTAAAACCCAGAAAAGAAAGAAGAGACACCAAACACAAAGGAAAGTGCAGAGACACAGGAGACAAGGAGACAGCAGCACAGACAAAGGAGACAAAGAGCAGAGACAAAAGGGAGAGCAGCAGCAGCAGCAGAGACAGACACAGCAGCAGCAGCAGCAGAGACAGACACAGCAGCAGCAGAAGCAGCAGCAGCAGCAGCCTTATCATACTTGAGAGCGTTGATGAGTGCCTTCAGGAACTGCAGAGACAGAGACAGCTGCAGCTTCTCAGCAGCAAACCGCCGCACCACTGCAGCACGAAGCAAATTAGAGAGAAATACACACATGTCTCTGTGCGCATCAGGAGACAGATCTGTCTCCTCTCCTAACGCAAGCTCCACGTAGTCCTGCCTGCAACCAGCAGCAGCAGCAGCAGCAGCAGCAGCAACAGCAGCAAACACAAACGCACACGCACACGCTTGCATGCATGCACACAAATTGCATGTCTTGCTGCTGCTGCTGCTGACGAGACGGCTGCCGCTGCAGCAGTAGCAGCAGCAGCAACAGCAGCAGGCTTGTGCCAGAGCAACAAAAGTACACACAACAACAGCAGCAGCAAGGACGGTAGTAACAGCAGCAGCAGCAAGAAAGGTAGCAACAGCAGCAGCAGCAGCAGCAGCAGCTTATTGCCGCAAGCGAGCAACACTCTCCCCATCTGGCTCTGCTGCTGCAGCAGCATCAGCGGGTGCAGCAGCAGCAGAAACAGTAGCAGCCGATGCATCAGCCGCAGCAGCAGGTGCAGCAGCAGCAACAGCAGCAGCAGCAGCAGCAGCAGCAACAGCAGCAGCAGCAAGGAGCAGCAGCTCTCACGCGTCTCCTCGTCTCAAGTGAAACAGCAGCACCAGATCGAGCAAAAACTTCCCGATACGCCACAGAGGAGACGCTCGCAGCAGCAGGCGTTTGCTGCTAGCAGCAGCAGCCAGCTGTCTCCTCAGCTGCTGCTCTCCAGCAGTATCCCCCTGCTGCTGCTGCTGCTCTAGCTGACGCTGCAGGCGCTTCTCGCTACGATCAGCCTCCACCCAAGCATCAAACAGCTGCAGCAGCAACAGCAGCAGCAGCAACAGAAGCAGCACCACAAGCAGTAGCAGCCTCACCCTTCAGCAGCTACAACAGCAGCAGCACTCAACGATCACCAGCAGTAGCAGCAAAAGCAGCAGCAGCAACAGCAGCAACACCAGCAGCAGCAGCAGCAACAACAACAGCAGCAGCAGCAGCAGCAACGGCAGCTCGCAATACTTTTTGGGTTTTAAGTATTTTGCTGGAGTCCCCTGAGAAGAGCGAAGAAGTTTTGAAGGCCCTTTTAAACAACAGCGAGGAGAGACAATCATATGTCGCTGCGTTGGTCAGCAGCACACGGCGGACCCAGCAACGCTGCAGCAGCAACAGCAGCAGCAGCAGCAGCAGCAACAGAAATAGCAAGAAACACCGCAGCCTTACAGCATATTGAGGCGCAAAATAACACACGTGCAGCAGAAACAGCAGCGACAGCAGCAGAAACGAATAGGCGCAGCAGCAGCAGCACTGCATGCAGAAAAAGAGATGTGGGAGCCGCATAAGCTTCAGCAGCAGCAGCAACAACAGGAACAGCAGCAACAGCAGCAACAGCAGTAACAGCAGCAGAAGGAACCGCCGCCCAGGTGAGCGGAAGCAAAGATGAGAAGACAAAGACAACCGTAACCACTCTCAGCAGCCGCAACAACAGCAGAAGCAGCAGCAGCAGCAGCAGCAGCAGCAGCAACAGCAGCAGCAGTACTGACGTGAATGAGCTCCGTTCCAAGTGCTGCGTGTATTCGGTGCATTGCCGATCCGAGGCATTTTACAAGAGACCAATTCTATAGACAACAGCCACACAGGTTGCTGCTGCTGCTGCTGCTGCTGTTGCTGCTGCTAAGGATGTTGCATGCAGCAGCAGCGGCAGCAGAGGCAGCAGCACAGTCGCGGGGCGCAACGCTCCCTACGAAGCAAGCTGCAGCTGCTGCGAAATGCAGTAGCAGCAGCAGGAGCAGCAACAGCCGAAGTCGAAGCAGCTCAGACAACAGCAGCAAGAGGAGCAGAGGCAGCAGCAGCAGCAGCAACAGCAGCAGCAGCAGCAGCAGATCCTCACCAGGTCGATGATGACGAGGTCATCGGGGTGCTTTGGAAGGCCAGCAGCACACGCACGGCGGATCTGCACACCAGCAGCAGCAGAACGAAGCAGATGCAGCAGCAGCAGCAGCAGCAGCAGCAGCAACACCAGAAGACACAGCAACAAGAGCAGCAGCTGCAGCAGCAACAGCAGCAGCAAAAGCAGCAGCAACAGCAACAGGTAGTTGCCCTACATATCTCCCCACTATAGACTCGAGCTCCGCTACTGCCTCAGGGCCCTGGGCTCTCTCTGCAGAAGCAAACAAGCAGCAGCAGCAGCAGCAGCAGCAGCAGCAAACAGCAACAGCAGGGGCAGCGTGAACACGCGCGGGAGCAAGATAAACATCTGCAGCAACACCGCAAGCTGCAAAGGCAGCTCTTCCAGCTTCGGCGGGGTGTAAGAAGGGCCTAGGGTTTAGGGTTTAGGGTTTAGGGTTTAGGGTTTAGGGTTTAGCAGCACCTGGCATCCGCCGCAGCGTGGCCTCAAGCTCCTCAAGGTGCAGCAGCTGCTGCTGCTCCAACATACACCGCAACTGCGGAGACAGATAAAAGAAAAGGAGACACCCGAAGAGGCATTTAGGTGGCAAGCAGCATGCAGCGGCATGCAGCAGAAACAGCAGCAACAGCAGCAGCAACAGCAGCAGCAAATGAATGTGCATCAGTCAGCGCCTCTACTGCCGTATGTTTTGAGTTGGGTGCGAAGTGTTGACTGCATCCTGCTGCTGCTGCTGCTCCTCCTGCAGCTATTGTTGCTGTTGCTGTTGCTGCTGCTGCTGCTGCAGCTATTGTTGCTGTTGCTGCTGCTGCTGCTGCAGCGTACTCTGGGTCTGAAGGCCCTCCATCCCCGCGGGTCTATGATTGACTCATCTTCTTCTTCCTCTTCGCCGGTGTCTCCTTCCTCCGAGCTGCAGCACACAAGCAGCAGCAGACGCGCCGCATGCCTACAGCAGCAGCAGTAACAACAGCAGCAGCAGCAACAGCAGCAGCAGGGGGGGGGAGGCAGCGAAGGCAACAGCAGCAGCAGCAGCGGCAGCAGCAGCTTGGGGGGCCTAGGCATCTCCATTTGTCTCTTTGCATCTCTTGCTTGGGTGGCATGCTGCTGCTGCTGCTGCTGCTGTCTCCTTGCGGCTCAACCTGTCTCTCTGTGTCTCTATCTTTGTCTCTCTGTCTCTGTCTCTCTGCTGGTGTATCTACTTCTTCTGTCTCTGTTTTCTGCTGTCTCCTGATTTACTTTCACTGTCCCCTTAACTTCTTTACTATGTTTGTTATATGTATATACTTTTATATATATTTATTTATTTATCTATTTGTCTATATATATATATATATATTTGTTTGTTTATAACAATCTTACTCGGAGCTGTTGGGTTTGAGTGTCTCCTTAGTGCATAGAAATTCAGAGAGCTGCAGAGCAGCTTCAGCTGTCTCCTCTTCTTCGCCTTCGCTGCTGCTGCTGTCTCCTTCAGACTCCGTCCCAAGCCCAAAGTCACTCAGCTGCATGCAGCACAAAAAACACCATACTGCTGCTGCTGTTGCTGCTGCTCCTGCTGCTGCTGTTGCTGCTGCTCCTGCTGCTGCTGTTGTTGCTGTTGCTGCTGCTGTTGCTGTTGCTGCAGGTGCTAGTACTGATGTTGATGTAGGTGCTGCTGCAGCTGCTGCTGCTGATACAAATATATATATATATATATATATATATACATTGTGTTTGTGTTTGTTTGTCTATGTCTTTGTCTTAGTTTATTTATAATAATTTGCATTTGTTTGTCTAAGAGGGCGGCTGAAGCGTCTGCTGGTTTAAATAATATTTGTTTTAATAAGGACGAATATTGCGGAAGGAGACAAACCTCTGCATCGTCAATGAACGCATCATCCTTATCATAGAAGTCTCCTTTGTCTCCGCCTCCGCTTCTTAATATGTCTCGAGGGTTTGCTAATAACCGATGACATTCTAAACGGCGTTCTATATCATGCAACAGCATATCCAAACGGCTGGGTCTCCACTGCAAAAGAGACAAAAGAAACACAAGATACACTTCATAAAAGGAGACAGTTTAATAAAAGGAGACAGTTCAAAGGGAGACAGATTCATAAGAGGAGACAGTTCAATAAAAGGAGACAGTTTAATACAAGGAGACAGTTGAGGAGGAGACAGTTCAAAGGGAGACAGTTTAATAAAAGGAGACAGCTTCATAAAAGGAGACGGCTTAAAAGGAGACAGCTTCATAAAAGAAGACGGTTTAAAGAAAGAGACAGAAGGAAGAAAGAGATAGAGACAGAGTGCATGCGGAGACACTTCAATCAGACAGAGACAAATCCACAAAGAGACAGAGAGGACGGAGGCGGGAGTCTAACAGAAGCAAAAGGAGACAAAAAGAAGCAAAGAAGAAGAGACAAAGAAGAAGGAGACAGACAAATAAAGCAATAAGAGAAGGAAGGAATAATAGAGACATTCAATGCAGCCACCAGGAGCAGAAGGAGACAGACAGAGACAGAGACAGACAGAGACAGAGACAGAGAGACAGAGACAGACAGAGACAGACAGAGACAGAGACAGACACAGAGAGACAGAGACAGACAGAGACAGACAGAGACAGAGACAGAGAGACAGAGACAGAGACAGAGAG